CAGCAAGGAGGTACACCTGCTATAGTACATCGGTACATCGGTGCGCGTCAGTTACCCCTGAAGCGGTAAATAGGTGGAATTAATCAAATAAAGGACAACGGTAGGCTCAATTCTTTCCGTACGATCAGCATGGCCTGTGCTCATAAAAAAGGTACGTCGCTACCAACCAGTGAGCCGCCATCGAAGGCTACGAGAGGCACAGGGCTGAATAGTATAAAGGAGTTGAATCTAGGAAGCTGAAGAAGACCAATGCGTACCAGTCTGGCGCAGATCTCCTAACTGAGTGAGTCAGCCTCAAGTCTGACCGGCTGCCGTGGTTTAAGGCTCTCTCGTAAGGGTAGCGATGACATTTCAGCACATAATTCTCTCTAACAAGGCACGTCCTAACGTCTGTAGGGGGAGGATTCCGCAATGCCCTCCTCTTCAAAATTTCCTCCTCTGGTACAACCCCCGTTCCCCATAATGCTTGTTGTTAGATACCTTCCTGGATTCTTCTAATTTCGTACTACTTTCTCAGACTTTCGGAATTTTCCTGCACTCCCCTCGCCGAAATTGCCCTCGAGCGTAGAGAAGGAGGATTCTCTACGCTCGACGGGGACACTCCTCACTTGAAACAGGAAGAATCAAGAAAAGTCAAGAACCAGTAACATCTTTCTCATAGGTGAATATACACCCTTCCCCCCCTCCCGCTGGAAATCCCTCACGTACGACGTGCCTTGTTTTCGTTTACTCTCGACATTCGTTCCTTCTATGGTCATCGATTTCCAGAGACTGCAATGGTACGTCAGTGATGATGGCCGCTCTTATCCATGGAAATAGTGAAACAGCTCTATGGTTGCTGGCAAACTTCGGCAAGGAACTGGCTTCACTTCCTAACATTTACGGAATTACGCCGCTGCACATAGCAGCATCGCAAGGTATGTGAAGGTTCCAGGACGAAATACTCAGTGAATCACTACATTGGTGGACCCTCTGAGCAAGTTCCCAGCCAGTGGAATGCGACCAGCATTGTCGAGTTCTCCTCAACCACGTCCACCTCTTGAAAAGGTAGTCGACCCACGGGTAGAGGGGAGGGGCTGGGCTCCAGTTCATATTTTCTGTTAACTCTCTGTTCTTTTAGGTTGAATCGGCTTAGTTGTCACAGTCTGAAGATCATTAGATGTGCATTATACTGGTGGAGGTGCTTTATACCGACATAGTACAGTCTGGTTCACTGCGGGTGATTGGGCGTGTCATGGGGATGGGTATGGCGCAGCGTCAACCTGTTTCTTTTCTTTTTTCAGTGGCGAATGACAAGACTGTATCATACTGTTCGGTTCAGAAGCTTTCCATCATTTGTTACCCGCTTCGGCAGTTGGTGGAGAACATGCTGGCGACAAGCCAAAACCAGTACCCTGGGACACCCGTCATCCGCAGCGAATATGACTGTAACTTTCATGAATATTAGA